AATTATAAAACACAAAAATAAGCATCATTCACACAATATCCATTACACGTCCTGAACAGCATCGTCCGAATGAGCACTTGAGGGGCCACCAGCCATTCTTGTCCACACATAATCTTGGGCTATAGTGGTTACTGCCATACGGATGACCTCTATCATCTTGTCCTCAACCCACTCATTCTCTTCATATGGGATATTTAACCATCCCAGAGGCATCGTTTGAGAGCATGTCTTAAATTTCAAGTTATGCCCAGGATCTATCATCAGAATGATAAACGATAATTGACTGTTTTCGTCATCTTCTGCGTCCATTGGTGACATAGATAGTTTTACTGGCTGAATAGCCATAAATACAGGACAATGGATGACAGGAACTGCCCCTGATTCAGACGTATATACCTCTTTGTCTTGGTCAGATGGTTTGTAGTGTTGTTTAATGAGATTATCAACATTGGCTTTTGCGAGCTTGGTTCCATCGATTAAAGAATCGCAGATATTGAGATTTCTTGTTTGAGTGAAAGAATCAACCTCACCACCAGGGTTACGGACGACCACTTGTCCAGATTCGGTATGTTCCATGACTCTGGCAAATGCACGATACACAAGCGCGTCTAGGCCAGAATATCCTTCCATATCATGCGATAACCAAACCTCAACAAGTTCATGCTCAGATATAGGAGGAGCAACCGTCTCGAGAATGGTTGTTGTCAGGTTTTTTAATCCAGTGCCTTTTAAAGGCTTGATCAGTTTCTTTAGTCTTTATTCTTTATGTCCTATTTACCTAATTTTTCAATGTTTTCCTTATTTACTAAACTTTGCAAAGTCTTTACGCGATCCTCCAAGAGTTTAGTAGCTACTTCACTTCCACCCACTGACTTGTTGATTTGATCCGTTGTCGATTTCACTGCAGCACTGGCCTGATTCCAAAAACTGTTTCCCCATGACATCCAACTACTTGCTGAGGTATTGTTTGTTTGGTCCATATCTTTCTTCTTATTCTCTTCCTTTGGATCTATTGCGGGTGGGTAGTTTGAGATTTCATCTAGAAAGGACATGATATCCTTTGGGTCAGCAGTTGTTGCAGTTGACGAATTCACATCAGTTTCTTGTACATTAGAATCAGGCAAGTTTAAAGATTCCAAAAACTTTTCTGCTTCTGATAGACTGCTCTTGTTTTCACTCTTATTATTTTCACTCATAACAAAAAAGACAAGAAAAGGAGAGGTAATCTCTCTATTTCATTCGGATCTCGAAAGTGGATTCACGTGTACTGATCTACCAACTTGGTACATGTTTGTTAGTAGCTAGGTTTTGAGAACCATTTATTATAATCTAACTGCATCAATAATATATCTATCTTTCCCTTCAATTTGACTTCAGGTGGTTGAAAGGATGCTAATCCAAAGAAAGTCTCTGTACATTTTGTAAATCTCTGTTTATTATAAGCAAGTTAGTAAACGATATCACTGTCATTCTCCTTTTTTTTACTTCTTGTATACGCTCAACTTCATTTAACCAAGAAGTCGAATCATTTCTTGTCCATTCATCAACGATATCTGCAGCTGTCTTTCTGATACGACGCCTCTTACTTTTTCGCCACTCTCCTTCTTCAGACATCTTTTCCATTAGTTCACAAAAGTCTGTGCATGTCTGTAGTATGTCATGCATAACATGGATACATTCTTCAGAGGTCATCAAGCATCCTTGTTGTATATTCTTCAGAAAGGCATCATGCGCCTTTTGAATTTCTTCAAAGTCTAGCTTCACCTTTGATCGTCTTGACAGACGCTTTATAGATGAAGAAGTCGTCGTTTCATCAAGTGTTGTTGTATAGATCAATTGATCATAATGAAAACTGATGACATGTGCCTATCTCATGTATGAATAAATAGGCTTTTATGAATGCAAAGTATCTTTTTACCTGCAAATGATTCCAAAAGTTATCTATCCAAAATAACATAATTGACCTAAGCCTCCATACTAGGCGTTCCTGGTATCCATCTCCATCGTCTGTAAATTGTGCACCTCTATTTGAAATTGAATACGTCCCGAGCGCTTCTTCTTGATGTCCGTTCGATCTTAGTGTCTTCCAAAGATTGTTAAGAGAAGCTTGTGTTTTTTTGATGCTAATCAAGAATGTCCATAGGTTACTATAAGTAATCAAACGAGCTTCATTTATAAATAAATCGACTGGCCACTCTAAGCGAAAGGTCAGTACTATACTTAAGCTCCCCAGCAATATATCAGAGAACGGGTATTCTTTTGTTGGTCCATCTTCTACCAGTAAACTATAACCAAGCAATTGATCCTCTGCTTCAGTATTCAATGATGACTTTATCAGCAAAGCATTTAGTTCCTGTTGTCGAAAGATGACAGCAGCCTTGTTTGTGGGCCTCATGGAACTGTCTGTACTAGATGCTGGTTTCTTTCTATTTTGATTTATAGCTGGTGACATGGACCGTTTTCTCCATGCTGAGCATTCTTGAATAAAATTAGATGCCCATTCACCAAAGCTAAGTAAGAAAATGTGTCGAAAAGAGCTTAGATAGCGATGAATGCCATGATCTCCAACTAGCACTTGGGAAAATAGCCAATCTGAAGTAGACCGTCGCACTTGACTAACAACATCTTCAAGTATCTGTGGGTAAGATATCCAAGGTGATGAGGATTGGTGTTGAGATAGACAAGATGAATGCAATTTCAGCAAGAGGCCCAAATGCTCCTTTCGCATACTTTCGGGTATAGGTATCTTCTTTGTCTGGGTTACTGCTCGCACTGAACTTGATGTCAGCAACACATCTTCATCATGTCTATTTATGGCTGCTGTTGAGGGCATCCTGCCTATTTCATTTACAGTCGCAATTGCCTTTCCCACAAACAAGATAGATTCTGCAACAGAGTAAGGAATATGATCTGGTACTCTATCAGCTGCTATTGTAAACAGTCTATTCCAGCCTACTGTTGATGTTGCTGTACCTTGATCAAAAGGAACAATAAAAAACTCATCGTAGTGATCAACGCGCTGTCCGTAGACCATCCAAGCGGTAAGTTGTCGATACAGCACGTCGTGGAGTCCATCCATTATTTTTTCCATCTCCTTTCGATACTCAAGCACACCTGTCTTTATTTGGTTCATAACGAGATTAAATAGTCGACAGCCATGATATTTTTCAGACTCGCTTTCTAGTAACTGAATGAATTTCCATATGGCTGGTAACAGTAATTCCCATCGACTTAGATTAGCTGCAATCAGTGATATCGGTATTATTCCGGATCCTGCTTCATCCTCCTTATTCAGTATACGTTTTTCAATATCTAGTATATCAGCCTGATATTCTCTTAATGTCCTTTCGATACAAGTAATCAGGGCTTGTACATATGATCCAAATGGCCTCTTTTTGTCTGATTGTACTTTGAGATCTTGTGTTGTATTGATGAAATTATAAATCTGTGAATAAATCCATCCCAGTTGTCCAAATCGATTAAGAGATTCACGTTCAGTTGGATGCAGTAAAGAAAAGTCAGGTGGAATAGCAAATGTAGTTGGGTTATTTGGAGGTGCAGGGACGAATATGTCACCAGAGTAGCCCAAGAGTATAAATAATAGTTCATGAAGCATTATAAAGAACAATGAAAAAAAGAAAGGGCGTGTAACAATCAAAGTCAGGCTTCACATTTTATTCAGGAATTATTATTATACTAGTTGTAATGTTCATTGACATGGTGATTAATAGCCATATCATCCCCTTCTAGCATCTTTTGGCATACGGGACATTCTACACGTCTTATTTGTGTTCCCTTCAAGAGTGTACTCGCATCAACAGGTGGGTGTCTTGGTTGATAGGTTTGACTTGTTGTTGCTGATAAACCAAAATTAGGCGGAATATACATATTTGACATCGATGACTGCTGAGCATTGGTATTATATTGCTGATAATATGGCATTTGTTGCTGTTGCTGTTGCTGTTGTTGTTGAAACAAATAGTCAGTAGGTGTAGGCATCATTGGATGTTGCGGGCTATATGACGTAAGACTACCTGTATGTCCATAAAGAGGAGACATACTAGTGACAGCAGGAACGCTTGTGTTGGATACACCTACATCATACGAGAATTGAGGAGTTGGCATGGCTGTTGTTGTTATTGTTGTTGTAGGAAAAGTGTTTGTATTTGGGTATGGTTGAAATTGCTGCTGAGCAGGATGATTATTACTATTATAATTGTTATTCTGATAAAGACTATTATTTGGTTGTTGTTGTTGTTGAGAAGGTGGATATTGACTCTGATAAAGAAAAGAGCTCATATAGTTATTGTCTTTTGGTGTTTGCTGATTACGAAAAGGGTTATTGTCCATATTATTTTGTGTAAAATAAGAAAAAGAAAAAAAAAAAAAAAGAAAAAGACTTTTTCCCTTTTATTTCATGCTAGTTTTTATTATTGTATATTTTACTCTCTTAGTCCAAGTGGTTATAGCCAATACAGAAAAAATCATATTACAATTCAACCATGATTTACCAGTGATTGAATGCTTAGAGACCACTGCTTTACTATCACCTCCATTCGATTTTCTAAGGGATTCAATTTCATCTCAACAGAGTAAATACTACACATTGGCTAATCTGAAGAATGGCTCAACCTATGAAATTCGTGTTTCTTATCCTGCTATTGTAACTTTGCTCTTTGTATATTTGCACGATAGTAAACCTTTTTATTATAGACACCAGCAGATTTTTATATAAAAGCATTAGGAACTTGTCAAGGTGATTTATATTTAGAAATTAGTGCAAAAAGTACAGGTGTGTCAAGGATAACTCAAGCTGAAAGAGAGGTCATTACTTTTGATTTAGGTAATATTGCTATTATTAATATTATTATAAATGATACCAATATGTTCAATGTAGTCATCGAAAACCTTTACTTTGGAGTGTTATTTTACAACGTATACAAATTAGTTATCATTATCAGTATCACTCTTTTCTTCAGTTATTTCATATTGATGCCTAGAGTGAAAAGGTTCATTACTCTGAAGACTCTATGAAAAAGTGTAAAGTGTTCTTTGGCCCTAAACAATATAATTATGCTTCATTAAAAAGCTCAATCCATCAGTCAAGGTATGGGGAATGGATCCTAATATAATATACATTGTATATCATTTTAAAACAAATAAAGAACTTGCTCAACACAGCAGTATGAATTACCTGTAGCAGCAGTACAAGAGTCACAATTACTAAAAATGGAAAGCACATTTTTGGTCCTGCGACTGTCATGGAAACAAGCCAGAGAACTAATCAATCCTTCCTTTCACATTATCTAATATGGGTAAATAAGCAGATATTATATATATCTTCATCCATCCATTAACAGGCTTTCCATCCATATAAAGGTATCAGTCGTGACTCCAGGCATAAGCGATCGTAAGTTGATTAGTTAAATGAGAGTACTTTAATTGACATTTGAAATAGTGCTACAGGTGCTAGACGTGCTCAATACAGAAAAAAGAGAAAGTAAGGATGAACGACATGCGTACATTACACACTTTACTTTTTTTTTTTACACATGATAAATTATTGCAAAGGAACTCCAATATATTATTCATAATTATAGAAAATGGGGAGAAGTGGACATGTTATATAATGGAGAACATGCTTGCAATAATTTTAATATGTCAAAGTCATGTGTTTACGCATGTTGGATCTAATACACGAAAAAAGATAGAGTTGACATTTTCAACTTAGGTTCGAATTGGGTCGTCAATCTGCCAACACCAAATTAGGCAGCAAGCGTATTCACTTGGTTCGTGTTCGTGGTGGCAACTACAAGCGTAGAGCTCTTCGTTTGGAAGGTGGTAACTTCTCTTGGGGTTCCGAAGGCATTTCTCGCAAGACCCGTATTTTGACCGTTGTCTACAATGCTTCCAACAACGAATTAGTCCGTACAAACACTCTTGTCAAAGGTGCTGTTATCCAAATCGATGCCACTCCTTTCCGTCAATGGTATGAATCCCATTATGCTATTGCTCTTGGAAAGAAGAAGGCTGGTGCTCACGCTGAAGAAGTCGAAAAGTCTGTTGAAAACAAGTCTAGAGCTGTTCAAAAGAAGGTTGCTGCTCGTGCAGCTACCGCTGCTGTTGATCCTCTCTTAGATGATCAATTCAACGCTGGTCGTCTCTATGCCGTCATTGCTTCTCGTCCTGGTCAATCTGGTCGTTGCGATGGTTATATTCTTGAAGGCAAAGAGCTTGAATTCTATCTTCGTAAGATCAAGTCACGCAAATAAACATCTTGCTATTGTATTTTCCCCCGCTGTGTAGTCTTGTAGATATATACATTATACGCTTTTACCGAGTAGATACATACGTGTCATACATGTATACACCACCAATAAATAAAAAAAGAGAGAGAAAGAGGATAAAACTACTATACATCTTATTTACAAAGAGATTCATGCACAGTCACACTAAAGATAGGCCAAGTTCGTTACTGTTATATTCGAATCCTTGCGAGAAATATTGTAGCCAAGCACATTTCCTCCAAAATAAAACAAGAATATTTGATATACAACAGGTGAAAATCGTTCCCCTACTACCTTTTTCACAGTCATCCCTTCAGTTGATGGTTAGTAATGAAACTAGATATCATCCATAACTTACCGTAAAGAGGTGTGGTCTGTAGAACGTCGATTGGCAGGTAATACTCGTTGTTGAATACGCAAGTTTGTCTGCCATCCTCAAGTTCAAGTTGTAAAATACGTGTCAAGGCAACCGTACCTTTCTGACTAGCAGTGACAAAGAGTTCTAGCTCAGGTATCCACTCTACCATGGTTATTCTATCTAAAAGATAAAGTAATCTATCTGCACGAACATCCACTTTACTGATAATATCTGACTCTTGGCGCACTTTTGTCATTTTTGGTAACGTGGTCCTCATGAGTACGATATCCTTGGCCGTACTCAGCATGAGATACTCGTCTAATTCATTTGGCTGGTTTGCCTTTCTTCTATTTGCATTATTGTCCAAGTTCTGAATGATCTTTGGTATACAATAGCCAGGACACATTTCTTCTTCCTCGTCATATATTTCTTCTTCCATACCTTCAGTGTGTGTTGCCTCCCAGGTTGTAGTTTCATCTTCATCAGTATCATCCCATCCCTCTTCAGTAGGACTAATCATGGACGACGAACTAGGCGATTGACTCTCGACAAACTCGCCATGTTCTAGCCGTGTTCTCAAGATACTTTGGAGAATTTGCCCATAAGAATTTTCGAGCTGACTATGAGGTCTGTACCCCATCGGTATCTCTTCTACACCCTGTACAGGCTCATTCCATGCATCACGTTCTTCGTCACCGCTCACAGTATTACTACTAATAGCGCTGGCACTAGATAATCTTTCCCTTTGCTGTAATATATAGTCTGCCACCACGGACTCCTCTTGTCTTATCAATGAATTATCCCATAGATCATCATTGATCTCTTCCTCCAAAATTTCGTCTTCAATATCATCTGCATTCAAATCTAAAATTCTTCCAATGTCCATAGTTGGATAAATTGGAGCGTTGGCTGAATGGCATAGATTTAGGTTAGCTAGTGAGGTTGATCTTCCTTGATCTAGTCTTTGCATAAACCGTTTGTTTATCTTGGTGTCTGTGCACGTTATATACTTAAAATGACCAGGCTTGATAAACTTTGTGGACCAACACCTGTTGTTGATAATGCGTTTTTTTTTTAGCTTAGTTTCTTGAAGTTGATGAATGACTTTACTTACCAAGTATCTTGCTCTTGATTACGTATAGCTGGTCTCCTGTGATAGGTGACGATTTGCTTTGATCTAATATCCCATACTTTGGTGGTTGCATCAATGGAAGCACTTGCGAGGTATTCTCCTGTCTCGTTAAAATCGATACACGGTATGTTATGTTCATGTCCCTCGAGAATCACCTCCTTCGCGTCATTTAACACATTAAGTGCCTTCCTAGGCGTATAGCTAGGATCATTTTTTGTCATTTCAGCCAAGTTATATATCTTTATCTTCCAATTGTTTGCTGATACAGCCAGTAACCCTTGTTCTCCATGAATCGCAATCCCCCACGTCTTGTGTTCATTCCTAAGGTACGTGTTTGAAACAGAAATAGAGATGGTTCGATACACACATACCTCAATATAATAGGAGGCTTATCAAGGTTCTCGGTTTCCCAAACACATACTTCCCCCCATTCAGAGACGGAGACAAGGATCTCCCTTCCTAGCATGTTTCCAACTTTGATTGCATTTATAATATGAGGCTAATCACAAAATTGGGGTTAATCTAAAGCATGTACAAAAAGAAAAAGTTTTCTGTGTCTCTCTCTCTCTTACTGATTCAGGTCCACCACCTGTATTCAATGCTTGTGGACTCGCTAGTGTTCTTACAGGATCCTTAAAAGGAGAACTCATAGCGTCAAGGGTATATACATGGATACGGTAATTGACAGCTATTCGAATTCCTCTTTGAGTTTTCTCATTTCTCAACTTTTTATGTGTTTTTTTACCTATAAAAAAGGTGCAAGATAAAACTTGACTTACGGCACACAGATTCATGCGCTAGTTGACCTTATTAGCGAAACAAGGTAAAGAAATGATCAATATTACCCATAGCACAGCTCCAGACAGATTAACCGAGTTTTGGGTTTGAATAGAAGAGATCTACTCTAAATGATTGATAAAAAACATTATTAAAGTAATTGTCGTCATTTACATCCAATAAACTGTAATCTCTTGAGATTCTGTGAAAAGGTTTATCCAAATGAGTTCGCTGGTTTGGCATAAATTTGACAATAAAACAAAAGAATTCTCTTTTTTTTTTATATCCTTATTTTTGACTCGCGAATTGTAGCGCAGCAGTGTTTGACGCTTGCATAAAAAAAGTTGACTGACCCACACAGCTTTGATTTTCTCTCTTTTATTGGTTGCAGTAAACTAATCGATTTTTATGGAAACAACAACTAGCTTATAGTCAACGTTAATCATTTACATCCTGAAAGGTGATAACTTTAATAAGTAGGTCGAGCTACTCTTGAACGTGATAATATAATAGTTCAATAAATCAATAACGCGTGTAACCGCCATTTGCTCTATTATAGCTTCTATTCTTCCTGGCATGCTATCAATATACCTTCTACAAGTATCGGCATCAAGCTTATCCCATTCGATATTAACTCGTTCCCATAGTTCTGACACGTTCTTTGCCCGTGTCTCGTACAGTGACAAGTTCAACTTGATCTGATGCCAAACATGCTCTATTGGATTTAGATCTGGATGTTGGGACGGCTAACCGTCTAGATACCTTACAGAGCTGTTGTTTAATCAAGCAATTGCGTGGACTTTGACTTGTGTTCAGGGTCACTGTCATGCTGAAGATATACAAAAGATTTGTTTATTCCGAAATATGCCAATGTTTCCATGTATGTAGTGTCCAGAATATGCTGATAAGTTCCGGGACTCATATTACCATCGCATATTTGACATGCATATCCTGGTTCTGTTAACTTTCTATAGACCTTCTGGGCTGTCTTTAGCTGGCCTCTGATTACAAACAATTTGCTATGCCGCTTGCCTGCACCTGAAACAATGCTATGTTGTCCTGTCGACACTGGAGGTTGAAGAGAAAATCGCTTACGATATCTCTTAACTGTGGCAATATGAATTCCAAGGCCCTCTACAATATCGTTCGGCTCTCTGCGATGCAACAGTGCTGCTTTAATGTCGCTTTTCATGTCCTCAGGTAAAGCTCTAGGCATGATAGTTGAACTTATAATTTGCAAGAAATACAAACAGCACTTTTAAACGGAAACATATGGCATTATTTATAGTAAAACAAGATATGCCAACGTTCCACAAAATAGTTGTAAACAAAGCTGCATTAGCATTCCAGTCAAAAATGAAAATTTTGATTATAAAAGTGCCACAAAAGCTCAATTTTACAGTACTCATACTGTTTTATTAAAAATAAATTTCAGAAAGAGGATAAAGTTATGACGTGTATGAAAAAATGATTAGTGCATATTAAAAAAAATATTTACGCAAAGGTTAAAAATAAAATGCGTGCAAAGGAAACGACATACAAATGAGAGTAATAAGGTCCAAGGAGAGAATATAAAGAATTATACAGTTAGTTATGTAAGAAAATTATTATATATAATAACTTACCCTGAAGGCATATAGATGTGTCCTAGCGATAACTAGGACGGAGAATCATCGTCTAAGCGTATTCTAGTTCTTGGTTGCTCCTGATCGTTCACTCTTCTTCGACGTTTTGTAGGAGCAACAGCAACCCGGCGAAACCTATGAGGAACCATGCCATTACGTCGAAGCCCACGAAGGATGTGTATGTAGTTGAGGCAAGCAGCAACATCCCTGTTCCATAAGCGATATCTATCTGGTGCTGCCATGGCGGGTCTACAGTATAGATTGGTGCATCTACAAGCAATATTCAATCAGCATAAAGTCACCCAGGTGGCTCATGTATTATTATCTTAAAATATCATGGCAGACAGCCGTAGAATATCGCTCTCGTTGATACAGTCGTGGATTTGGAACACGACGGAACGTGTGGAGGCTTTCGTTGTGGCATGCTGGACAGTACCTACTGGTCTTGTACTAGTCTATAAAAAAACCTTGGAACCCATGTTTCTTGAGGAGTCTTCGGAAACTAAAGCCACGGATAGGTTCATGGCAACTAGCATGGGGGCGGACCAGTTTTCCATCACAAGCACAGCGTCTTCTCGAAACTTAGCGCGTAAGTCTTGAATAAGTTTTTGATCGGCACGTTGTTTGTTGAAACACACTAAAAGACGGACCTTGCTAAAGAGGGAGTATCCATTATCATGGTTTGTGATGGTATGTTCATAGAACCGACTAAGAACGGCAGACTGCTCAGATCTGACTTGAAAGAAGCGGCTAAAGCCCTCCATGGATACGGTGCTGCTTGACTGGTGTCTGCGGTAATCTCAGGCTACACTTTATTAATCCTGAAGCAGAGATCGCACCTAAAATCGTTGTTGTTTGTGCTCGGATTTTGGGCACTGTGACCACAGCAGGCAATCCTTTTTTTGACCAGGCCATACTACGCTTTAAATTAATATGAAATGCAGACTTATCGAGAAAGACGCAATTAGTTCTAAAGTTCATGTCCGTACGCACCCACTTACGAACCCAGTCAAAACGCTCCTGAATTTTTTCTTCACTGCTCCTATCTACAGGCTGAAATTGGGCTTTTTTGAGTGACAAGTTACATTCAGTTCTTACAAAATTGTAGACAGTGCTTTTAGAAACCTTGAGATCCTGAAACTTTTGAAGTAGTCACTCTATTGCTTGCTCCAAGACGGCTGAAGAATTCTCATATATGCGCTCCAAGATCACTTACTTGTGTTTTTCTTGAAGTATACGCGAGCGACCGGTTTTCTTATGCTTTATAAAAATACTATCATGATCCGTTTTGTACATTTGAGCCCATTTCTGAGCTGTACGAACATGAATACCTAATTATTTTGCAGCAGCTGAAGCACTCATAACTTTCTCAAACGTCAGTTTAAAGAATCCAACTTTGTCTTGATCCGTATAGAGTGTGTACACTCGCTTACTCGACGCCTCCTTCATGCAAGCATCTGCGTCATCTTTTGCATCTTCATCTGCCACAGAGCCTACATCGAAATTATTCTCCTGAGGCTGATTATGCAAATACTGAGTGTGTGAACTAACTGTTTCTAAAGCATATCGCTCTTCATCAATGATGTAGTCCATAGTCTTAGGTCTACCGTATGCATCAACTGCATTACCGTGCCCGTCTTCATAGAAAATTTGAAAGCACACGTTGTAATACTCGGTTTTTAATGAGAAAGAGAGTAAAAAAAAAAAAAAGAACTGACAGTGCTTTCATGCTTAATATACCCATATTTTGTACGGCAAAGCTCCTACATATACGAAATCAACCAATGGTTAACGTGACATTAGGATTTAACAAGCGCAAAATTTACTCTTGGTATCAGTGTCTAAACTTTTTGGAAATACTGCATAACAAACGCGTTTCTCCCATTGATCCGCCAATCTAGAAGTCACTTCCAATGGCATAAACTCTCTAGGTCCCCCATTTGGAAAATATGCTCACCAAACCCAGAATCCCTTGATCGCCGCTCATTACGATTGATGCAAAGGAAGTTCCGCCAAGATAACCTCAATCACAAGCACGCAACGCACGCCTCTGTTCTTATACATTGTCGTCCGACTATCTCCTTAGACCTCATCCTTTGGCTACCAATGACCAGGTCTGAGAGAAGTCGATGTATATGTTGGCGTCTTGGTTGGCTTCTCAGTGGTCACGACAAAACCTGTCCTCAGCACCCCCAACCAATCCTTCACCAAAGCCCACACCATTCATTGTCTCCAGATGCACCGCCGACTTATGATACCCGAAACAGTTTCCGATCCATTATCCTTCCTTTTGAACATGCTACCTATGAAGAAACCACGCTCCTTTCAAACCGCTTTCTCATGGAACATCCGTTGGCCAGCTATCTGCATTCTTCTTTTTGAACTTGATTACCTCCATCACCAAAAGTGTCCGCCTTCTCCGCTCCCTCACCTCGGGTAAAAGCTCCTCGATTGGCTTCTTCCTTCCCCTCACTAGTTTATTTTACGCTTGCCCCAACATCGTTTCTTCAATAACTTTTTTACCCTTGATCCCATAAGGTTTTTTAGTTACCAATTTTTTATTCTCTTTTGACCTGCCTCTGGCGAAGAAGATATATTATTATTATCGTACGCCCACTTGAGACTTTAATTGTAAATAAAAGACTATTTAACCGTATAGCAGTACATGCGTTGTAGTAGTTCAGGATGAAGAGGAGAGCACTTTCTATCAATGAGTGAATTGGTAGAAGAAAGTTTAATTAATGAAGAGCAATAAGCGCTTTGTTGTGTTTCGATAGACTCTAGTAAAATTAAGATATATACATATACACATATTACTATATAGACATATCCTTTTGAAGCAAAGCAGTTGGTATTTTTGGCTCAAATGCTACATATTGTTTAGCATAGTCGATGTATATATCACATTGTTGCTGCTTACCGGATTCATCAACAATAGTGTCATTTTCTAGGCACGCTTCAATCCATTCAGAAGTTACAAACCGAGGCAGCCGTTCCCTAACATTTCTGAATAAATATTACAGTAATAATCAATGATCGAATGTCTTACCTTCGAAAAGTCCTGGTCAATTCTTCAAGTCTACAAAGGTCTTGATTATTGAATACAACATGTGTGACGTCCTCAGTTGGTATTTCTCGAATTAAACCTCCTTCAGATTTGAATCGGATGGATAATAGCTCCAACTTGTCCCAAGATTTTTTCTTTTTAATCCAATCTGCTGTTAATGAGCTGTCTAGCCTTGTCAATGTCATTTTTGCATCTTGATCAAAATATACGATCACCTTGAGGAATAACATGCCAGGAATATGACTGTCAAAATACCTTTCAGCATGCTCAGAGACTAGTTTGCGATAGTACTCTTCATTTCTATTATCTAGAGTCATCTTTTTTAAGACCTTTTTGCATAAAATATATAAGTACATTAACTGGCAATCAATATATAGCAATACCTCTGCTAATCTTTCTTCACTCACAAGCTTGGTGTAAGAGTCTCCCCAGTCATCAATATACTCCATCACTTCTTGTCTAGTCACGTCTGTTATATGAATTGTGTATCTAGTACAAATAATGAGCATACAGTCTTTGCCTTAATCCCTGATCTCTTACCTGGGCTCAATGTCTAATAAATCCTTCTCTTTAACACAATCAAGAAAATATTGGAATGATAAAATATTATACTTTCCAGAGTTGATTAAACTCAGGACATGATAATCTATTTCGATTACTCTGTTGGCTCTCTTCTTTTGTTATGCTTCACTTACTTGCGTTTCCTGCAATGACAATATCTGAAGCATCTGCGTTTTGTACGCATTCAGCGCCATTTTCAATAGCCAATTTTTCAAGCTCTTGTTTAGGATACTCTCCGTTTCCGGATGCAATAACTAATATAAGCATGAGATTCATCTACTTTAAATGCGATAAAATAATACATTACATATCTTCAATGCCTCAAATATGGCTGTCTTTTTGGATATCTTGGATGAGTCAAGTCCTCTTTGGGTATCTACAAGTGCAAGTGACTATATTTTTGCATTAATTACTATTAAAATACTAGTAGCAGAAACTTTTACTCTTGATATCTTTTTTTTCTTTGTCAGCTGTTTCTGAGAGCTTTGGCTAGTGAAATATCGAGTTTAGACTTTCCTCTCATATTTCCCTTCTTTTTACCTTTCTTTTGTCTTTCGTTTTGTCCCGGCCAGTCCTTCATGCTTTGCTTTTTGTATATCTTTGCATTTGTGTCAGTAGGTGTAGACTAAGTATAAACAATACATTACCTGTAACCGTCGTAATGTCTTGCCAATTCTTATCCTCTCTTACTCTGACAAATCGAGGAAATCTTAATGCACATTGCATACCCCATTGACTGGATTTTACAATTGAATTTGCTTTCGTTTCTATAATTAAGTTTCTGGTATGTAATATATTTTAGTTACTGATCATTTAGCAAGATACAAGAGCATACTGTTTATAACCAATAACGATATCTGGCTTTTCAGATGAGTTGTTTGGATGTACAAGCCATTTGGGTTGATTTTTAGGATTATATCTCGTTTGTGAAGATATTAAGGAACTGCTATCGTTAGACACCAGAACGTAATATTTCCAATCAATGCCTTACTTTAAATGAGTGAAATCTTCATTTGTAAATCCAATCCCAACCATTGAAAAGGATATAAATCTATAATACATATTATTTGTTACAATTCATAAAGAGACCTTTAAAAAGTGCATACCTTGGCTCTTCAGTCTCAGGAATAGTATCATCTCTTACAGCACAAAAGAATTGAGCCAATTTATTACTTCTTTTTCCTGTACCATATTTGGCACCTGTTTCAGAAGGGCATAAATCGTTATCATTATGTAAAGCATACATGCAGCATCTACTTACCAACAACAAGCAAATTACAATTCTCAATAAGTGCATCCATGTAATCTGGCTTCAACTTGAGCCAAGCATTTGTCTTTTTCATGTCATATCTTGCAAACGGCATTTTAACCATTAATCCTTCCATGCTGAAACCTTCAGGTTAGACTGATAGTCAAATACAAACAGATTAAATAGTTTTTACCGCATGTCGATGGCTGCATTCAGTTCATTCATCAACTCCTCCTTTGTATGTAGCTTTTTTCTAGGTATTAATTTCAGATAACTGCCTTGAGAAGTGATAAGTGAATTAAGAAGATAGATGCGTTCCTCTAGCGGATATTGCATCATCAGTTTATCATCAAACCAGAGAATATCAAAGACAATGACTGAGCACAAAAAAAAAAGATCAGTAATGCCGTATAAAGATATGAATAGTAGTTGTTTTTACAGCAAGGTTGCGAATCATCAGAATCCCATGGATCATCTATAAGATATATCAGTATATGTGATTTTATGCTCTGGAGATATTTACTTTGAGTTGATGTTCTTACTGTCCCAAAGGGCAGTATGATGCCCGTTTTGGGATCATGTGCTACCATTTCACCATCAAGTATGACTCTATGATGTACTGTTCATTTTGGTTCTTTTTATAATGATATAATCCTACCGCTTTGAAGGTAAACCTTTATATATTTTGCTAGATAATCTGCCATAGTCTTTTGAGCTATGACCAAAACGCTCAGTAAAATCATTTTGATTTCTTGTAAACCACATGAATTTGTCTGCTTCAGGATCATAATGCATTTGCATACGATCACCATCAATCTTTTCTTCTACGTAACAGTAGGGAGTTTCTTTAATATTGCGCTTAATGAATAGTTGTTGATTATCATTCAAGAACTTTTTTAATTCCTCATCCGAGTTCTTCACTCCACGTTGTGGTTTTAAAGGATAAAAGATCGAGATATGCTACATGGGACAATAAGATAAAAGTTGGCGTACATTTCTTTCTTACTTACTTCATCATTGAACTTTGCAGTATTAGTTGTTAATTCATTACATATATAACGTAGGCTTTGTCCACTGTCATAGGCAGCCTTTGCGTCTTTATGAAATGAACCAAGAATAGAATTCTCTGTCATTCCAATTTTCAAATCTAAAGAAAGTATTAATACACTACAACCTGTATCAGTAACGTACCTTTGACAATAATACGAAGCAACCAGCGGATCTGCGATGGAGTATATGCTTTTATCATTCGTTTCAAAATTTGTACATGATTATTCATACTACACAAACCAGCTAAGTAGAGGGAATGGTGTCACAAGGGAACATCATTACCTGTTGCTATTGGCCAATTCATCCAAAATTTCATGCGTCTCCTTTATTGTCTTTGTACTGAAGGAGACATTTGACCTGTCTTTTATTTTTTCATGAGCAACGTTTGGAAGATCACCACAGACAGCCTACAACAGAGATCTTGATGTTATGTTTATCGAAATTGTCTTGAAACTTACGCTAATCTTGGATGGCAATCTCCAATTCTTCAAATGTTGTCCATGATCTGAAGAAGGATTCAGTCCTAATGCTTTTACTAATCTCACTGCAAGGGCATCCTCTTTTAGATCATATTCTCTTATATCCAACTATTGAACGGTGTGAATACTCGTTCCCTTTTTGTTTATTCTCCATTTCTTTACCTTGGGAAGAAATAGTCTCATGGCATCATAAAAGTCAAGGCCATAATTAGATCTCCATTTGTTTACGTATTTGTTAAAGATCTCCTTTTTCTGGGTTGTTCCTTTTGTTTCACTTAGAGCATCAAGTACTTTACATATTTCCTCAAACGGTGGAGAGTTCTCCATGGTGTTATTATTTTGAAAGAAAGACAAAAATAATGAAAATTGTGTGGACGATTGATAAATGAAAAACTGTTGATCTATCACAATAATTGACAGCATCACACACACACACGAAGACAATGATAAAGACAAAACTTCAAGCAAAACCTCTTTTCTGTATATTCCTCTCTATTTTAGAAAAAGAGTCGTTTTAATAAAACAAACAAGCTTAATAGAAGGTAGTAGGTCTCTTGGCAATGAAGAGAGCACGGTGCTTCTTGTCGGCCTTGACAACACGGTGAGGCAAGGGGAAAGAGAGCTTGGGAGTCAAGAGTTGCTTGATGTATTGGCGACGGACATCAGCATCCTTGATTTCAGCAACACGAATGATTTGAACAGATCTGAAACGAGCACGGTGACGAGCAGCCATATCTTGGTCTATTATTTAAACACACATTAATAAAAGCTAATTCATCATATTATCCAACTTACAGCAAGTTTCAACAGCTTCGACACGGCTCATGGCACGGTATTCCTTGTACATGTTGTGAGTACCGGAACGAGAGTCATAACGAATCCAGATACCAAAGTTCTTGATTTGTTCAGGACGCTTTTCGTGGATCTAAAGTGATGATGAGTATACGTTGTTGTTTGTTGTATGTTGGTTATTTTACTTCGTTGACAGCAACAATCTCACCAGCGGCCTTCTTAACCTTGCGGAGCTTCTTCAAGAAGTACCAGAAGCGAGACTTGGCAACAACAACGTTGGGAGCGAAAATACGCATACGGAAAAGCTTAGGAGAGGGTTCTTGCTCTGAAGGGAGCTTGCGACCAACTACCTATAGTATTGTTTGTTTGTTTGTGAGCGATGAATTGAATGTAAGATCTCTCGATTGCATACCTGATATTCGTGGAACTAATTAATTTCAAAGAAAAACAACTGTTAGCATTCTATTGTAAACATTCATCTAAAGAAAGGGAGCATTTCTATTGTAATCCACGTTAAAGCTGTCTGTAAAAGAACGTAGGGTGACATTTAACAAAAGTGACTAAAATAGCCTATGTTTTGATGGATGAATGGATGGATGGATATGTGATCCATACATCATCCAAGGATTAAAATAGATTGCTCCCCCTTTCATTACTTACTCTAGCCATCGTTTTGCCTTGTAATAAGAAAAAGAGGGAGATTCATAATGTCCTTGTTTAGACACTTCTTCCACACCCCCTCCCTCCATCCGTATGTTTCCATTTTTGGTATTGATTTCCTTCAAATTCCGGACCGGAAATTGACTTAAAATTTTACGTTTCCAAAAAAAAAAAAAGTATATACTCTTGTATTAATAGACGATGAATAGATCTAAAGGTCATGGAGGTGGATCCTACAACAAGTTGACCCGATCTATTGAAAATAAAGTTCTCAACTGTCTTGACTTGTATAAGGCAGAAGGACATAAGGAATTTGCAGCCTATGTTATATATGATTACTGCTTGAAGGTAGATTCATCCTTGAGGAGAATAAAGAAACGTCAACTCGAAATGGTTATCGAAAAAGTACTTGAGGACATGAGCAGTTCTGAACTAAGATGTGATGAACAGTAACTATAGAAGCATTATTAATAGGTTGTATCACTTAAATATATAGTAGAACAGAGACAATAGAGGATGAGGACGCTACAGCAGAGTATGCGCTGGTGAGTAAAACTAAAGAGGATGCATTGGAGAGCACAGCTTGGTTAACCGAATATTTACCTCCGGGATTATTAAATAATTCTATTCAAAAGCCTGCACAAGAAGATAATGCGATGAATAAGTCAGTTACAAACCTTTGGAATATACATAAAAGCACGCCATCTACAACACCGGTAGTATCACAAGCGTCATCAAATCAAACATTAGCTACTGCATCTCCTATATCAGCTATAGAACAACCATCAGAGGATCAAGCAGCCACTACAGTCGAACCAAATGCAACCTCACCAGAAAACAACGTCGATTCTACAGCAAAGTCAAAGAAACGATCAAAGGCTGCGAAGGACGGCTCGTCAAAACGTCATAAACGTAAATAGAGTGTATAATAGCTTAAGAAATAGAAAGCATAACCTGTATTGCATAGCTTCCTCTGAGACTAGGGATGCTCCTTTCATACCTACAGCCAAATTATCAGACTTGGGTGGTATTGATCACTGCATAGAGGAAATTATGGAGTTAATTGCTATGCCTTTGGCACATCCCGAAGTATATATTCATACAGGTGTCCAGCCTCCCAGGGGTGTCTTGCTGCATGGCCCACCAGGCTGCGGTAAGACAAAGTTGGCTCATGCTATTGCTGGCGTAAGTTGAATCAATGTTCACCAGCTTAAAATAACATGTTGCTTTTAGGAACTAGGGATGCCTTTCTTTAACATATCAGCCCCATCTATTGTATCTGGTATGTCTGGAGAGTCTGAGAAGAAAATTCGTGAAGTTTTTGAGGAGGCTAGAGTAAGTAATTAAAGCAGCCAATGTGAGTGATATGGGCTAATCTTTATATCTATCAGGACAACGCACCTTGCTTGTTATTTATAGACGAAATTGATGCTATTACGCCAAAGAGAGAAACAGCACAAAGAGAAATGGAAAGAAGAATTGTAGCACAGTTACTGACTTGCATGGATGGTATGCGATTACAAAACAATGCTACAGGATGTTAACTTTTTATGGTAGACCTATCTTGGGAAAAGCTGAATAACAAGCCTGTTATGATCATTGGCGCAACCAATAGGCCCGACTCTTTAGATCCAGCTTTACGACGTGCTGGCAGATTTGATAGAGAAATCAGTATGGGTGTACCAGACGAAAAGAGTCGAAAAAAGTAGGTTTTTCTTCTTTTTTTTTTTTTTAAAAAAAAAGCAACAACATAGGTTTAATCGTCACGAATAGGATTCTTCAAGTATTATCATCCAAACTACGCCTTTCTGGTGAATTTGACTTTGATGAACTTGCAAAAGCGACACCGGGTTATGTTGGTGCTGATCTTCAGGCACTTATAACAGCAGCAGGTGTCATTGCTGTGAAACGCATATTTAAGCATTTACGCTCTGTGGGCATACTCAACTCGGATAAAAAAGAAATAGATGATAAACCAAGCGTGGAAAATATGACAACAGACAATGATAACCAAGAGGGCGGTAACCAGGGTGAAGATGGTGCTTCAATGGACATTGACGACACGGTCGTTCAGGAGCAACCTATACCAACTACGACCGTAGAAGAATTTGAATCTCAAACACCATTAGAACAGATAAGAAATATATCAGAGTTTATCAAAACACACAAGGAGCCCTTAACTGAAGCCCAACTCGAATCTCTCGCAATCACTCAAGACGATTTTAAACACGCACTCAAAAAGGTTCAACCTTCATCGAAGCGTGAAGGTTTTGCAACCGTTCCGGATGTATCGTGGGATGATATTGGTGCTCTGCAGTTTGTACGTGATGAATTGCGTATGGCCGTTGTTGAACCTATCAATCATCCTGAATTCTTTGAACGTGTAGGCATTACTAGTCCTGCTGGTGTCTTACTTTGGGGTCCACCTGGTTGTGGTAAAACTTTATTGGCTAAAGCTGTTGCTAATGAAAGTAATACCAACTTCATTTCGGTCAAAGGACCTGAACTCTTGAACAAGTATGTTGGTGAAAGTGAACGCGGTGTCCGTCAAGTATTTGCTCGTGCTCGTGCTTCTGCTCCTTGTGTTATCTTTTTTGATGAATTGGATGCTCTTTGTTCTCGACGTGATGATCAACAAACTGACGCCTCAGCACGAGTGGTAAATACTCTGCTTACAGAGTTAGATGGTGTTGAAAATCGCAGTCAAGTGTATGTGATCGCTGCTACAAACAGGCCTGATATGATTGACCCTGCCATGCTTCGTCCTGGTCGTCTTGACAAGCTTTTATATGTAGAACTCCCTACGCCCCAAGAGAGACATGATATTCTTAAAAAACTTAGTATCCGGACACCGCTCCATCCTGAAGTTTCGTTGCATAATATTGCTAATGATCCTCGCTGTGAAGGGTTCTCTGGTGCAGATCTTGCCTCTCTTGTTAAAGAAAGTGCCGTTGCTTCCTTACGGTCTAGATTTTACTCTTCTGGATCCATGAGAATGGATGCAGTGTTTTCTTCTGCTGAAGAAATTTTTGTTACCAAGGAAGATTTTGATGTGGCATTCACCAAAGTATCGCCCTCTGTATTACCTCAGGATCGAGCTCACTATGAGCGTTTAAGAAAGAAATATGGATAATTTGAATAAACTTGCAGTCTTGAACTTGTCGGACTTTTATTCGTTACGCGTTTTCGCGTTGATTGCGCGACGTCCCTTTTTTTTCCTTCTTTTTATTCCTTTAAACCATGGGGAAGTTGATTCGCATTGAAGTAGAAAACTTCAAATCATATAAAGGAAACCAAGTCATTGGTCCCTTTCACCAATTTACTAGCGTCATTGGGCCTAACGGTTCTGGTAATTGAAAACCTTTTCTACATTTGAAATAAAGCTTACAGCTGTTCATTAGGTAAATCCAACTTGATGGACGCCATTTCCTTTGTTCTTGGCGTTCATTCCAGTCATTTACGTTCTCAAAATCTAAAAGATATGATTTATCGCTCTGAGGCTATGAGCCATAGCGAGACTTCCAGCAGTGGACGCTCACCCCGACATGCTTCCGTTACCGCTGTCTATCAAAACAATCAAGGTCGCGAGATTCGATTCAAGCGCAGCATCAACAGTAACGGCAACTCAGAATACCGTATTAACGATAGAGTTGTTCAATACTCCAACTACAACGCAGCACTTGAAAAAGAAAACATTTTGGTAAAAGCAAAGAACTTTTTGGTATTTCAAGGAGACGTTGAATCTGTTGCAAGCCAAAATCCAAAAGATTTAACAAGGCTTATTGAACAAATTAGTGGGTAAAGTACTTTTGCATTGTTTTTTTCTATTTGTCCTTTAATACTTTATAGTTCCTGGGAATACAAGGATGAGTATGACGAGGCAAAGGCAGATATGGAAAAGGCCATTGAGAATAGTGCACACGCATTCAACAAGAAACGTAGCCTTGCTTTAGAAATCAAGCAGTACGAAGCGCAGAAGAGGGAAGTTGAAAAGTTTGAAGAAAAAGTAAAAGACCGAAGAGAGTGTGTCTTACAGTACTTGCTGTGGAAGCTTTATCACATTGAAATGAAGACAAATAGCTTGGCCGAAGAAAAAGACAAAAAGTACTTTAAGAGCAGTGAGGCCAAGGGTCAACAGGTATGATTATTTTACCGATAAAGGATGTGGTTTGTAACTATAACGCTTCTAGGATTCCTTGGAATATCAATTCAAAACTGCAAGAGAACAAAGGGCATTGCTCCATCGTGAAAAAACAAGACTTGAAGTTCAAATCCGTAGAATACAGAAAGAATTAGAAGATCAATTGCCTACTTCTATCAAATCCAGAGAGAAACTAGTTAATTTTGAGAAAAAACTAAAGCAGACCGAGTTAAACATTGAACGTGTCAAAAGGGATGGACAACAGCAAGAGTCTGTTGTTCATTCTCTAGAAAAGGACATGGAGTTACTAGTAGCTACAGAAAGAGAATATAACAGTAAATTGAATTTGTGCTTATGAAAATGCTTGGTATTGACTGTAATATAGGTTCGGTTGCTACTACTTCATCAGGTGATATCCCACAGCTAACGTTACAACAAGCCAAGGATTATGAAAGAAGAAAGGAGGAAGTAAACAACAACACTGCTGAAGAACAGCAACAATTGCTACAGTACCAGCGTCAACGTAGAACTCAACAACAGCGTGCAAACGAGTTGCGCATGAAGCTGGAGAGTTTACAAGAGTCGGAAGCTGAAATATTGAGCAAAATTCATGATGCAGAAGCAGAAGTCGCAGAAATCACAGCTGAGGGCGAGAAGAAAACTTCATTATTAGAATCACGTCAAGCCGAATTATCTCAACTTGTAGATGAGCGTGAGACCATTCATCGTCGTGAAGTTGAATTGAATGATAAGCTTCAAAAGACGCTTACAAAGCTCCTTGATGCCAATCTCACGTTACAAGACACAGAGAACGATTCCAAGTTTAACAACAGCATTGCCACCATGAAACAAATCTATCCAAGTAAGATAACAAAAGGGACAAGATGGTATTTATGTACTAAACCTTTTCCTTATAGATGTTCATGGAAAGCTATCTGATTTATGTAGGCCTACGCAGCGTAAGTATGATACCGCAATTGCTACTGTGTTTGGAAGAAATATGGATGCTATTGTTGTTGAAGATGAAGCAACTGCTATCGAATGCATTCGACATATGAAAGAACAGCATATTCCCACTGCCACTTTCTTACCTCTTCATTCATTGTCAGTCCCATCCATTAACCAGAACCTTAGCAGTCTTGTGAAAGGAGTGAGATTGGCATTTGACCTTGTCAAATTTGATTCTCAATATGAACAGGTGGTCCGATATGCTTGTGGAAACACTGTAGTCTGTGATAACTTGAGTATCGCAAAGCGAGTCTGTTTTGACATGAATGAGTCTGTTAGAGGTAAAGGCGAACCCCGCACAATACATTAATGACATGTCTAATTCGAAATATATAGCGGTTACTCTTGATGGCACTGTCATTCACCCTAGCGGTTTGATGACTGGTGGTTCTGCTCCTACACAACCTGTAACTAAATGGCACGAGAGCGAAGTCGAAGGTTAATTAGAAACGACTTTCCGAATTATTCAATGGGCTAATAGAGTATTTAGAATTAATGAAACAAAGAGACGAATATCTAGCTGAACTCAATAACATCAGCATGAACAAACGCATGGGCAGTTTGGAAGACTCAGTAAGAAACGATTGCGCGAGATTACAAGCACAAGTTGATTCACTGAAAGACGATTTGGTATTTGAAATAGCTTACATGTTGAAGTGATACTTATCATCGTTTTTAGTTGGCGACCAATCGAAAGATCGAAGGATTGAACGGCACACTCCAAGATATTCGTAACAAGATAAATGAAGCAAAGCAACCTCTTGGAGAAGCAGAAATATATATGCAGCAACTTGATCAAAAGATTGCAAGTGTTCGTGAACGCATTGCTGAAGTAGAAGATCAAGTGTTTGAAGACTTTTGTGCACTCATTAATGTGGCTAATATTCGAGAGTATGAAGCTATGCTTCAGAACGGTTCGGATGAAGTCTCTGAGCGTCGTGCACAGTTTGCGTCACAAAAACAACGTCTTGAAACACAACTTGACTTTGAAAAGGAACAGCTTAATGAGCTTGTCAAACGTCTTCAAAGCTTGGAAGCCAGTTATAATTCGGATACAACTGCCAAGAGCCAAATAGAAGCTGAATTGAATGGTATGAGTGGAAGAAAGGAGAGCTTGACAGAGAGATTGGAGATATGTAAACAAGAACTGGAAAGAAAGGCCAGGGAAGAAGAGGATAAGCAAAAAGAGATAAATGATATTAGCAATTTATTGGAAGTCAAGGGTCGAGATGTTAAGCAAATTCTGAAAGAAGTGGGCACTATTGAAACGGAGATCTCTAAATATTATGCAGAACGAGTGGCAATTTTCAGAAAATGTAAACTTGAAGGAATCAATCTACCCATGCTTCAAGGTTCTATGGATGATATTGTTGTAGAAGGTGAACAAATTTCACAGGCAGAAGGAATGGCTACTGATGATAGCAGCGTGTCTTCCTCTATGGACGTTGACGAACCTCCTTCACAAACCTCCATTTTAACATCCGACTGGACTATTGAAATTGACTATGCACGCTTAGGTCAACTTCAGCGTGATGACAGTAGCCAGGCTGTGGATAAAGATTTCCAAGACGAGATTAAGCGATTAACGGACGAGATTGAACAAATGGCGCCTAACCTTAAGGCAGTAGACCGACTTGAAAGTGTTGAAGAAAGCCTCAAGGTCGCAGAGGATGAATTCAGCGTGGCAAGAAATACAGCCAAAGCTGCTAAAGAGCGATTTAATATGATCAAGCAAAAGAGGTAACTAGACGTCCCTTCAATTATACAGCAGTGAATAACTCTCTATTAGGTTCTCTTTATTTTACGATGCCTTTAGTCATATTTCTGAACATATTGACAGAGTCTACAAGGACCTCACAAAGAGTGAAACCTTCCCCTTGGGTGGTACTGCCTATTTGAGCTTAGAGGATACTGAAGAGCCTTATTTGGAAGGCATCAAATACCATGCTATGCCACCTATGAAAAGATTCCGTGATATGGAGCAACTATCTGGAGGTGAAAAGAGTGTGGCCGCGCTAGCATTATTATTTGCTGTACACAGGTATATAAACACTTATGACTTTATTAAAAAAAAATTAAACACATCTTCTATGTAGCTATAAGCCATCACCCTTCTTCGTCTTGGATGAAGTGGATGCGGCTCTTGATAATGCAAATGTATCCACAGTTGCATCTTATATACGTGAACATGCAACAGACGAGTTCCAATTTATCGTCATTTCATTGAAACAGTTACTTTATGAAAAGGCTCAAAGCTTAGTTGGTATCTATCGAGATCAAGGCTTTAACTCGAGCAAGACAATGACATTGATGTTGGATCAATATCAAAGTTAATGAATAATAATAAAAAAATACCTATTTTGACATAAACTTTTATATATCAAACAATTACTTTGACAACCACTGCTAAGGAATGACTTTAATATCTCGAAGACTTTACCATTTATGGTATAAGCTTGATTTGGTATAAAGTGTTGCATTAAACTCTTGAAAATCCCCTATTGGTCATTGATATTTCCCGAAAACAAATATAATGAGAAGGGGTATGTCTTTTTTATTTGTTTATTTAAAAAAATATGAATAAGACGAACGGATTCGAATACATTATTCCTGATAAACAGACTGCCAACTTGGGTGTTCAATTAAAAGAAAAAGATCATTTACAAATCGTCGAAATTCCTATTCCAACCCCAGAGAAAGGCGAAGTGCAAGTTCAAGTAAAGTGTACGGGTATTTGTGGATCGGATGTTCACCTTTGGAAACACGGCGAGATTGGTATCTTCCCTGTGACCCAACCTCAGCTTTTGGGTCATGAAAGCGCCGGTATTGTGACAGCAGTAGGTGAAAATGTCACATCGTTAAAGGTTGGAGATAGAGTTGCTATTGAAGCGTAAGTTAACTTTATTCTATTGAATAACCAAATAACTTCCCTTGTTTACTTTAGTGGTATTCCATGCAGTTTGTGTGACCAATGTATGAATGGAAGATATCATCTTTGTCCTGACGTCGTATTTAAATCAACGCCTCCATATGATGGTTTATTAGCAAAATACATCACACATCCTGCTCGTTGGCTGCATAAAATCCCAGATAACCTTAGCTATGAAGAAGGTGCCTTACTTGAACCATTATCTGTTGCGATTGCTGCTATTGACAGAGTTCGAGCCAAGTTTGGAAAATCATTACTGATCACAGGCTGTGGGCCTATTGGTTTACTTGTTCTTGCGGTTGCAGCTGCTACTGGTATTTATCCAATTGGCATCACGGATGTACAAGAGAATCGTCTAGAGTATGCAAAAAGCATGGGAGCCACATTCACATACAAGGTTACACCTGGTAAATCTGAAACAGAGACTGTCAAGGAGATTCGAGAACTCTTTGGTGGAGAAGGTGCAGAGTGTACGGTTGAATGCACAGGAATCGAGTCATCTTTTAGAACTGCTATCATGGCAACGCGAGATGCTGGTACTTGTTGCCTTGTGGGCGTTGGAAAGAATGATCAAAGCATTCCTGTAAATAATTTTGCCATGAGAGAAGTTGATATTCGTGGTTTATTCAGGTAATATGTCAATTTACATAATCCAACATCGATATGCTTACAAGTCATAGATATCATCATACTTATCCTCGTGCAATTAACTTGATTGCCAGTGGTACAGTCGATATCAAGCATCTCGTCACTCACAAGTTTGAATTCAAAGATGCCCTCAAGGCTTTTGAAACAGCCAGTAATTATTCCACTGGTGCCATCAAGGTCCAGATTACAAATTAAACACGAAGTATAAATGATTTATTTACAAACTACTACTCGTCTTTTCTTCATCTGCCAATACAATTTCTTTTTCTATTGAAGAAAATATATCAATACCAGATTCTAATGAATCAATCAATACGTTCAAACGAGGACCATCTAATCCAGGTTCCTGTCTGATTTGATCCAAGTCTGTACTAAATGCTTGAGTTATTTTAGTCATAAATAAATCTCTGAATCGCTCAGAGCTTGTCTTGTCCTTTTGAGGCATATCATCATCATTATTATTATCTTTTTCTTCTTCTTCTTCTGTATTTTGATCTTCAATTTCATCCATAAAAGTGTCCACTATAGAATCATCATCTTCATCTACTTGTTTCAAGACGTGTTCTAATTCTTTAGGATCCATTTCTTCATCCAAATTATCAAATAGACTCTCTTCATTTTCTATATTATTTCATGTTTATACAACTCCAATGCAATGTAGTTGTTCTTTACCTTTATCAATCTAAACATATTGCGTCAGTTTAAGAAATGGAAAGTGCGTTTTTTTTTTTTACTTTGTCTTGTCTTTTTGGAGCTTTAACTGGCCCTCTTTCTATATTTGCTGATGCTGCTCTCTTTTTTGATTTTACCATAATGAAGAAAAATGTAGGAACTTATATTACCAGAAATAATTTGTTCTTACGAACAAATATATGACAAGTCACATTGAACAGTCACAAGGCCAATGGTTTTGGCATGCTCATGTGTCCATTTCAGCAATGGGATGTCAACTTCATAAGGGCAATGCCTTGTAGGAGAAGTTGGGATAAAAAAAATACTTGTAGTATTGTTGGGATTTTAATAACGCATCACACAGCTTTGTTCCTGATCACTCAATCTAAACTTCAGAGTCTACGCTGGCTTAATATTTTCATCCTTCTTTTCTCTTGTTTGATAACATGTCCCATAGGCAACCTTGTCTTGAATAATCACTGTTACTCTTTACTCTAGACTATTATATACATATGTATATATATATAGCTTCCAACTAGGAGTATTCGCTATTCCATTGTAACATTTATCGTCTAAGCCTCAACGATACAATAAATTGTAAGAAAGATATAATTAATGTGCCCATAATGCATATTGTAAATGTCTACACATTCTCTTTAAGTTGAATTATAAGAATGTATGCCCTGGCTGATTCATATCTGTATTCTTTTGTTTCTTTCATTGGTAAGGGAGCATAATTAGGGCAGAGTTGGGTCAGAAGTTGTGACGGGTTATCTTTTCATTTCCTTTAAGCTTTTTTGAATCTGGTTTGTTCTCCTTTTATTATTGTTATTATTGTCAAAATGTCAATCTACGAAAGTAAGACGTCGAGTCGTAAAGGCAATAATTCCAAAAAGGGTCAAGCACATCAAAACACGACAGCATGGAAAGCCAACAAGAATTCCAAAAAGACTCGACAGATCGCAGCATTGCCAGTATATGGTCTCTGTCAGCGCTGCACTGATGTTATTCTGTGGCGTAAGAAGTATAAGAAATATAAGCCTTTGACTACACCCAAGCGATGGTAAGTTGTCTCTCTTTTTTTCTCTTTATTTGATAAACTGATATAATATTTTAGTACTGGTTGCCAAGAAAAAGCTATTAAAGAAGCATACCATGTCTTGTGTGATAACTGTGCTCGTAATAGAGGTGTCTGTGCAAAGTGCTTAGAATCAAAGGAGATTATTATAACAAAAGAAGAAGCATTACTGGGTCCAAAATCAGAAGACGAAGAAGGAGAGGAAAGTGATGAAGAAGAAGACTCATAGAATGTATCTTATATATTTATTATCATATTTGCAAATTGCATCAGTAAATTGTACAAAGCATCATTACTTGACCTTAGTCACCTATATTTTCATTGTCTCTTTGTTATAATTTAATGACACATTCCCTTCATTTTCTCATAAAACCAAGATTTATTTCATTAGAAAACATGACTACATAAGCAACTTGAAGGGATAACCCCCATTTTTGATTTTGAACAGAGCCAATAATATACTAAAGATAAATACAAAGCATCCGATCCATAAAAAGACTGCAAATCTTTGTCGACTCTTTTCTTCAAAATGAGGTACCATCTTGATTAATGCAAGCACAGATAATCCAAGTGACCCATCTACAGCTATAATTAATCCCTCTTGTCTTATTATTATATAGGCCATTACTTACATATACTGGCAACTATTTGTGATTCAATACCAAGTTGGGATGAAAAACTAACAAAAAAGTTAAATAGCCTGCAATCATATCCACACATTTATGATTTTACCCCTGAGCGATGTAATTGATTTGTCCACTTTGAGTTGGAATGACATAAGCTGGTGCACGAATACGGTTCCACATATAGCCAGATGTCATTATCAATACGGTCAAGATGGAGACAACAGTCCAAGTTGTCTTGTGGTAGACGATAAATCCAAAATTACGATATATCAACTTGAGAATGGCTGCTGCTCCAATCGCAAGGAATAACTGACCACCAAATTTGACATAGTTGAACGGCCTCTTCACTTTTACTTTGAATCCAGTTTGTTGGCTCAAAAAATCAGCAAAGGTCTCTGCAGCAAAACCACTAGTATATTATCAATACATCATTCCTATTATTAAAGGGGTCGTCTACTTACTTTCTGGTAAGATCATACTTGATAAACTCTTTTGATTCTCCAGCCTTTTGAGGTGGAAAGTAAAAGACATTGGGTGCAGATACAAGTTGAAGCTATGATAAAGCAAAAAAAAGAGTGAGCTTAATTATATACGATGATATAGGACATACCTTTTGGTAGATAGCTTGTCCATCAGCAAAGTCAAGGTGTCCAAAAAAGAGATCCTTATCATGCTTGCTACTTTGGATGCTTTTGGCGACAAGGCTGAACTCGGGGTCAAATTCACTATAATAAATTAATAAGCATGACGCGCGTCTTATCCTGCTATATGTTGAAGCATTTTACCGGCATGGATGACAGTTGAATTGAGGGCTAAGGGCAGTCAATAACACGACCATGCCATAATTACGCTTTCCTTCAGTGAAGCGATCATAGGTATTAGAATTTAGCTTGATAATGCCTTCTTGGTTGATAAGAGATGTAAGTTTATCCTTTTTGGGGTCTGCCTGTGCTAAAGTCAAGCTGATATAAATAGCGAGTGCGCAAAAGAGCGAAATGACTCGCTTCATGATGAATAAGGTGCAAACAAAAAAGAAGAAAGCACTATTACTGAGTTTTGAATAAATTAATTTATGAAGAAACAATTCGTAGATGAATATTACTTGATGAAGAAGTAACCAGAGAGAAAGGAAAAGAAATGCAAAAATATAGCTTATGATTATGCTCAGTATAGTGTAAAGAGCGCTGCCACACTAAAGATAGTATGGGCTGACGATGAGTTGGAAGAAATAGAAGACACAACTTCGTCAACTTGATAGATGAAGAGGAAAGGCTTTCAACTAGTTCAAATAAAGTACAAAAGCTACTCTCACGCTCAAATTTCTGGTTTCATTCATAGTTTTGCAGGAAGAAGATTACCTTTTACCTGAAGTTGCAAAGAAGGCAGGTATTTCTCGTAGTACAGCCTATAGAGTGTGGAGTGAATTTAACGAGAGTGGAGACAAAGAGCTTCAAAGTTCAAAAAAAAAAAAAAAAGACAATCGTGGAAGACCACCTGTCTTCACTGGAGAATATGCTCAGTTTTTGATCAAGTACATTGATTCAAATATTGCATCAACTGTGCATCAAACTCATGATGAGCTATATAAAACTTTCCTCAGGCTAAAAAAATATCAGTCAATGCAGTTTATAAGTATATGAGAACGAAATGTAATTTATCTTTGAAGAGAGCTGAGATTTCGTTGTGAGGAACGAGATTTGATATGACAATTCGAAAAAGAAAGTTGTATATTGAAAAATGCAAAGAGAATAAATGAAGCAGTTTTCAATCTGTACAACATGCGACATCGAGCTCGGACCTCTAAAGATAAACCTGCCAAGGTTAAGGTCTCAACTCAAAAGGGATACATGTATTGCTATCATGAGATGCATGCGTAGTGTTGGTACTATCGACATATCTAAGAGAAATCCGGGTGTATATAGGAAAAGAAAGGTTCTCGGAGCATCTAAGTTTGTAAAAACAGGAAAAGGAACTAATACAGATCATATTCTTATCTTCTTGAAGAGTATGTTATATGCGATGGATAAACGAGGGATGAAAGGAGATTTTGTGGAGATGGACAGCGTAAGAATTCATGCTCACCAAACTTCTTAGAGCAACCCCAAAAAAACGCTCAATTTCTCAATCATTGAGGTAGACATCAAGAGTAAAGGTAGGTAAACGCTCGCTAAGCAACAATGCCCTTAGATAGTAACAAGACTCAATTGATACCTGTAAAATATAGTATTACAGCTGCTAACCTTAGGGGGCACTCTAGGAAGTAACTTGCTCAGGACGGAGGATAAGCTTCTAATATCAAGCGCATATTATAAATCATTTTCTTAGTAAGTTAATACCGTAAACCTGTGCAGCGGCTTGTCTAATGACTTTTTCTTTATAACTTCTGCAAAAACGAAATTGTTGATATTTAAAAATAATCTATATGTTTGTTATAGGCAACTGTTTTCATTTAAACCTCGGTCCCAGAAGGATTCTGCGTGTCTTATTGAGTGACCTTATTGGACTGAGCTCAATTGGACAATTTACACACATTGGCAAGTACGCACAGTGTTTAGTTTTATTCCTTTTCCAACGATTCAAGTGGAGTAGATAGCAGTTTCTGTACAAGTTCTTTCTCAAGAGCCTTTTCATATTCTAGTAGCGCTTGGTTCTCTTCATCATGATATCCGTAATAGTTGGCGTCTATGTCACGGTTGATCTCTGTTATTGATCTATTAACAGGCTCTGCGACCTCTTGTTCAAAGAGTTCTCTCACTCCTGGTAAATCTCTTGCACGACCAAAGTATCTATACACAGTGTATATAAGCATACAACAAAGATATGCACGCGTATAGTTTATATTTACCTGTATCCTCTAATGCCTGGTGCTTCTCTACCTTCATAACTAAACATCCTTGGACCTGATCTCTGTAAGATGATGAGTATTGTTAATTACACACATGTGTCATATTTACTGTATAGTCTGGGCCACCCAGTTCGACAATTCTCTTTTCCCAATGATATTTTTGACCCATCAGTTTATTGATTTCATCGTTCAAATCGCGCACTTGATAATCAGATAAACTGACTAACAAAAGAGTAATGATGTTAGGTTGATCATATGAGACAGCACATGTGTTTGTTTTTTACCATCTTGAATTTTAGCTATTTTTCGAGATATTTCGCTCAAAAGATCCCTTCTCCACATTTCAGCTTCTGTTATCGAGCTAACTGAACCTGCAAATCCTGGTCTGCGTTGTCTTGTTTTGGCTAATCCTAACTGTGCTGCTTGTGCTTCACGGAATCTGTAAAGCATAGATTGTGCCTTTTCTTCATTACGAGCCTTTGGTCATGTTAGTCTTGTCTTCTTCTTATTGACTTGATCCTTACCATTTTTGCTTGTTTATTTTTTTATTGTCTGAAAAACTAGTTAAAAAAGTAAAAAATATCAAACGCCAAATGTTCAATTTTAGTGAGAAAGAGAGAAACTGAGGTGACTGGCTGTGTTGATATGAATGCCATTACAAAATATAGAATAGTTCTCCAACTTGGCTTAGAACTCATACTATCATATGTACATATAAGCACTTATGTGTATGTACTACGTTCATAAACTTCATTTTGTGTGAAATAAAGAGGATCAGCTCAAGATCAATCAATGTCACAACAACAAACACATTGTAAACCATCATCTCCCATTCTCGCTCTCATTATCTCTCTTTTTAATAGAAATAGTTGTATCAATACAAGCTTGCTTCTTTACACAAAATACAGCACTTGTAACAAAAAGCATTTATTGTTAATTAACCATGGATTTAGTTGGCCTTGGGAGGGACAATGAATTGCTACATTAGATTCATTAGAAAACAATTCTCCCCTTGTTTTTATATATAGCACTTACTTGTTCTTTAGCAACACCATTTTCCCACTTGGCGAATTTGAGGTTGTTTTGGTTACGACGGAGAGCGATAGCACGAGGCTCATCCTTTAAGGCATTACGGACAGCACGAGCACAAATGTTGGCGTATTGAAGATAGCTAATTGGAACATGAGTTTACTGACATCAGACTATATATATTTTGACATACGTAATACCGGCAGCTTTCCAGGCAGACATTTTTGTTATTTCTTGTAGGAAGAAAAGATTTTTTTATTACTGGGTTATCTACCCCCTCTCTCATCCACCCCCAAAAGAGCCTTTTCAGCGGAGAATGAATGTATTTATGACGTTTTTTTTAGCACTGCAAATAGTCTATGGTTTAAATGTATGAAAATATTCACTTAAGCGTGTTTTTTTTGATTTTATTAAACAGCTATTTTTTGTTGCAAATAATGAGTAGCCTTTACAATGAATTGAAAGAGAAAAAATTAAGCTTCAGAACGACATTCGCGTGCCTAGGATAATAATGAATATCTGTGCTCTAAACCCACATTATGAACTTACAATATGACCGGTTTGTTGACACTTGTAGCAAGTCTTTGCTTGAGTAGGTTGATCACAATCTCTGGAGATGTGACCAGTGTTACCACAGTTGTAACACTTGGGACCTTGACCCATTGAACAACTATGTTGCATTAGATTTGTATATTGTTATATATATTCCGTATGCTACTTACTCGCGACTGATGTGACCAGCTTGACCACACTTGTAGCAAGATCTACCGCCACTGGATCCATAACCACGGCTAGCACCATAGCCACTGTTGGCTTCAGGACAATCACGAGACATGTGGCCAGTTTGATTACAATTGTAACAAGTAGGACCACTTTCATAGAAACTAGGACAATCACGAGACTGCGACAAAAATGAGTATATACATGCCAATTAGATTTTCTTTTCAGTTCTTTACCAAGTGACCAGATTGATTACACTTGTAGCAGAGTTTTTCAGCACGAGGCTCAGCACTGTACATATAATTTATCAGCAACTCATTATAGATATAAACATGCAAACACATACCAATCCTTGGACATATGACCTTCTTGTTGACAGTTATAACTAAATACGCACAATGGTAAGTCTATATTCCCTCACGCTCCTTTTTCCCTCAATTTTTACCAAACGGATTCAGACTTTTGGCAATCTCTAGCCTGATGACCGGCTATTATAAAAAAATATAAAGTATAAGCAACACTGTCATATATCACCTCTTTCTTCTACTCCTTTTATTTCTTTATTATTTTTTATACAATAAAAATAACAAGTAAACGAAATTAGGAGTAGATTAACAAATCCACACAAACAAAAAAAAAAAATAGAATAAGATCTGTGTGAATTTGCTATGCAAAGAAAGAAAGAAAGAAAAAAAGATAGATGTATAAACTAGTGTTCTATAGAGCGACTATGTAGAATGATAGATATATCACACAATAATCACTAATGGAGACAATACATATCTCTTTTGTAGAATATACATCTCTGTTTTCTTTTTTTTTTTTTTCTTTTCTTTGTTATTAAAATTGGAATTTTTACTTGCGTTCACCACATCTGTAACAAGTTCTACCACCAAAAGACATTTTTATAATTGAATAAGAGAAAGAAAGAAGAAGAAAAAAAAGAGGACAACTTTTCCTCTTTTTTATCTTTCGGGGGGCATAAAAGTGGGGATCAAATAAGCAGATGGAAAAAAAATTTTTTCTTTGCTTGTCCAATCAAAAAACATGAATGCAAAACTACTTTATTCATTACACAATTATCTTTTACATATAGAACAAGAACAGCCCAGCTGTTAAGTATACATTCTTTTTAACTCTTTACTTCAAGTCTCTTTACTGGGTATTTCTCTGCCAAGCATCTATGAACAGGTCCAATCACAATTATTTTCTCATAAGCCAAAGCTGCCAAACAATTGCCAATACAGAGAGCCCATAGTTTCCATCGAAAATCCCAAGGCATGACATTATGTCCTAGTGGTGTATTATATGGTTCAATATAGATCGGTGGTACGGTATAATTCATTTGTTCAAGCACTTCACTTGTTCCACAGTTGAAACGGAATAAGCATCCGAAACGATTGGGATCGGCCAATAACCAATAAGAAACAATGGCAATGTAAAGGAGCCAAAGGAAGACAAGCGCATAGTTGCGGTAGAAACTCTTTCGGAACTTGTAACCAAAATTGAACACGGCTGCATTATTGATGAATTGGAACAAACAGACAAGCGCAAGCACCTCAGCTTCATAGTTGTCTGCCAATAGCCACCATTTGGAAATATCTACAGCGGACGAATCAAATTCGTGGCATCGGAACCATGACTGCTTGAAGAGCATCACAAACGCACCTATCAGGAATAACCAATTGATGGTGACAAGCCCCAAACCGGATGCAAGTGTCTGTGGACCCAACAATTGCGCAGTAGGACGCTGATCCTCGAGTCGTTTAGCAGCATGTGATTGAGACACAGCCCAAGTGAGCAAGACGGTAATGAGGACATCAACGGCAATCCAGACATTTTGTGACATGGTAATAGAAAAATAAAAGGTGTATATCTTTAGCATCATCATTACTTGGCCGTACATAACTAAGTACTTGTAGTTTGTAATGGATGTAGCAAGAGCACCACGACCCTGACGAATCAATTCGACACAAGAGCGTACACTGCGAATACTTGTACTAAAGGGAGACACAATCGATGCTTCAGCATCTGACATGGCAATACCAACATGAGCTGCACGAAGAGCACCACAGTCGTTACCGCCATCGCCCGTCATAGCTGTTATACCACGTTCCATATGAAGTTGGATACACTTGACTTTACCAGAGGGCGTCATACGAGCGAATACACGAGTGTCCAAGAGATACCTTCTCATCTTGTCATGATCACAAAGCCAATCGAATGCCTTACCAGTCACGGCCAGTTCAACTGGCGTATGATCTTGATTTAAGAGCGCCTCGTCCACATTGACGTCCGGAAAGAGCTCAGGTTCATTCACATCAGACCAAACAATGCGGTTTTTGCCTTTATCCAAATCTCCCAACAAGACACGAGCACCTTGTTGAACCATACCACATTGTCGAGCGATATAGACTCCTGTAAGCGCAGTATCACCCGTGATCATCACTGTTCTTGTCGCACCACGTTTCAATTCAGCAATGTTCTCTGTTGTATCCTCCTTGAGAAGATTCTTAAAGACGATCAATCCTGCAAAATGAATGTCTTGTTCCATCTGATCACGATTCCAGTTTTTGAATGTCGAAATACCGCCGATCTGTTCAAGATCAATTTCACGATGTGCGAGGGCAAGCACGTAGCATCCTTGACGAGCCAGGTCAGCTGTGGCAGCATCATAATCTACAGGCATGGAATTGGGGTGGCACAAGTCCTTGATCTTTTCATAGGCTCCCTTTACAAAGATATGAACCTTATTTGTGTGCGTGTCAAGTACGGCAACAGACATGGACATCCTGGCATGAACAAATTCAAATCGCTTCAGTACATGCACTGGGGCACCTACTTCACCAGGTGTTTGCATAGGAGGTGTTAAGGTATCAACATAGTCTTCATTTTCAGGTTCATCGCTCAATTTCCATTTTGAGGATCGGAACATCTCAATGTCAACAGGGTTACCTATTGTTTTTGTTGTAAGTGACATGCAATTATATATATACATTCTTTCATATACCAATGAACTGTCCGTTGAGAATGGTAACAGCATGACAAGATGCAAGACCAATTTGCATCAGACGAGGGATATCTTGTACTTTTGCAATGTGTCTATCGAATTCAGGCTTTACACCATCTTGTCTCTGCTTCATAATATCGTTTATATCCTTAATGGGCTTGGCACCATAGAACTCAAGCCCTTCTTTTGTCAAGGTACCCGTCTTGTCAAAGCAAAAGATTTGTACTATAGTCAGAAAAAACATGAATCTCTTGAAATTGATATATGCTTTTTGTTTTTACCTTTTCCAGCCATGAGAATACGAGGAAGGTCAACACAAAAGATTTGCTTTTTACGTAAACGTCCAGCAGCAACCGATTGACCGACGACAAGAGCAGCAGGAAGCAATGGAGAGACAAGCTGACAGATAGCAAACATGGCATAGAACCAAGCACTGGTTCCCTTTGTGTAGAGCCAAATAGCCAGACCAAGACAGATAAGGCCACAACAAAGCAAGATGAGGAAGACGACCTTGATCTGTTCATCAAAGATAAATGATACACGTGTAGGAAAGAGAATCTTCTTGACCAGTTCACCCTTATCCGTAGCTGTACCAGTACCTGTAACGAGCGCCATCACTGGCTTGTCAGGCTCAGTTCGTTGAGCTTGAGAAATGATAGTGCCTGCGTAGATGGTAGACGTTTTACCTGCACCCATCTTGTCATATGTTGTTGGATCGTCTTTTCGAAGTGGGAATTTACGGATAGGTAAAGGTTCGCCAGTCAAAGAGCTTTCATCTGCAACAATATTACCACTCAAGATCACAGCATCGCACGCAGCCGTCTTTCCCTCAGACACCTCAAAGACGTCACCAGGAACGAGTGCAGATGTAGATGTATGTATCCACTGACCATCGCGTAGAATCTTGACTTCATCTGTGAACTCAGCCATTTTTTTGATACGAAGTTCTGACTTGAGACGCACAGTCACCTTGACCATAGCCGAAATGAGAATAACAGCTGTATCAGCAATGCCTACCTGCCAATAAGCAAAATAATAAAATAGCCAAAGTGCGGTGAATTGGTAGATATAAAAGAAGGAAGAGAATTCTCGGAGAATAGCCATAGGTACGTTGGGAACATAGACCTCAATAAAGTTGGGACCCACCATCTCTTCATGTTCGAGAGCTACTGCAGAACTCAAACCACTGTCCAGCTTGGCAAGGTCGGCATTGGTTTCGCCCAAGTTGTAATGATGTGGCTTGAACAGTTGAACCTTGGGATGATAGACATAGCGAGTACACTGGTAGATAAAGTATTTAGTTCCATTTGCAGTCTTCTTTAAAGGAGCCGTAGCCACAACGACGTCTAGGCCGGACGCTTTTTTGGCCATCTTTTCGAGGTATCTTACAAAGCGTACGATAGAATCTTCGGCCTCCAAGAAGATGATGGATGCCTCCTTTCGTTCGATCTGGATGTATTGACCTTCGTCATATGTGCATTGGATTCGAAAAAAGTTTGCAAGTCGAGATTTGAAGATGGTAAGACAGGCAAACCAGAGAAAAAAGATGTACCACATGCCTATGAAAGTACTTGACTGGACCACAGCAACCCCTCGAAAGAAGTAATAGTTTTGATAATAATCGTATACGATTAGGACCATGTACGCAACCATGCCAATTGTCTGTAGAATGTACAAAGCAGAAACAATCAATCCAAAGAAATCACGTTTATATGCCTTAATGACCATCTCTTCTTGGTCTTCTTCTGTACTCTTACTGCTTATTGAGCCACTGTCGACCGTAGGCGGTTTCTTTTCAGAGTTCACTTTGAGAGTCTCTTTGATGTCCACGAAAACATCTCGTTTGGACTCGATCACCTTGTGGTAGTTGGACTTTATCAGTTTTTCTCTAAAGCTCTTGTAGAGAGCCCATGTGCCAAGGAAAAATACACAGGAACCATAAAAGGCATAGAGAGCGATGAAGACGGGTTCAGTGTAGGTAAGGTTTCCGTAATCCGGTGTAGGACAAGTACCCCACATTATCATATTAGGATTAGGATTCCAAGAGGAAACATTTGAAAGGCCGAGATGATTAGCGCAAGCTGTGCTTGCTTGTTCTGCCTTATTGGAAGAGTTGAAGTTGTCAATGTTCACACGAGACTTGTCCAAACATTGGTAAACAGGACCATTCTCAAGAGGAGGAGCCCCTGAACAGGCACACTTTGATATCAGATTAGATGGACAAGACTCACGACAGATAGAATCAACACAATAGGTTTGACCAGGAGGACATGAAGGACGGACAGGTGGAGGACACATGGAAATATCTCGGACACATAGGACGGGACAGGGGTATGCATTATATGTTGATAAAGGACACTTACTACCGTCAACGTTCCAGCCGTTCACTGCAATTGGGTTAAAATAAATAAATAAAAAACAAAGGCACTTATTTACCTGTATTCCACGCAGGTGTTGCCTGAACCACACAGACAAATAAGAGTACTGTCAAGTATAGCAGACAGTTGTATTTCATTTTTAAGTAATAATTCATATAAGTTGTCTAAAGAAGACAAAGCAATGTATATACGTCAGAAATGACAAAGCTTTTGAAAAAAAAGGTTCTTTTCTAGAAGCTCAACGGAACAAGGTTGCTTTTATATTTTTCTACTGAGCTTTGATTCATCTGCACTTGAAGCTGAGTTGTTGAAAATAAATAAGGTATAAATCAATGACAGATCAGGGGTAACAAAAGATCAGAAATGACACCAAGCTTTTTATTTTATTGTTTTAATTAAAAGACCGCCTGTCATTAGTTCTACTGTTTTACTGTAACAATCATAGTTTAAATAACATAAAAAGACATGAATTAACAATTTTGATCACTACAGAGATCCTCTGCTACTGCCTACTTTGTCTTTTTCTCTTTTTCCTGTTGATTTTTCAATGTCAAATTATACTCAGAGTCGGGTACTCATATTTTTTAGTTTGCAGAATTCCATTGTAATATGGTTACAGAATTAAGCGGAACAGAATTCATTGACGTAATATGTCCTACAAAGACACCAAGGTTAACATTCACATCAGTAATTTAAACTGAACAAAGTCAATTTGTTCTACCGTAAAGAAACAGCCAAGTCATTCAGAAACAGAAAGAGTACAAAAAGATAAATCACTCATGATAAATATAAAGGTAATATGCCTCTCTTTTTTTTTTAATTTTCTCAGGTTCATGCTGCCACCTTTGTGCACAGCCTCTTCCACCCCTCTTTTTCTTTATTGATGATTGCATAACTGTTACATGTAAGAATATCCTATCAAACATTTGTCAACAGTCTCAGCATGCCTTGTCCTTTTTCTCGATATGACCCTTTAAAAAAAAAACTCATCCATACATCATATCATTCGATTGATCTTTCTAATTGTTCTTTTAGTACTAAATATCGAAAGCGCAACATATAAAATTGACTATACCAAATTTAGTCTAGAGGAAAAACTAAAGTCGTTCGGGGCTTATATGAATAAGAATTACACTTTATTTTTATATAAGCATATATATAAAAAAGTTTATTTAAGAGCTAAACACACACGCCCTTTGCTACAATTCAAGTAGTATTTGCTCGGATATACTTGCGAGTTATGTCAAACCAAAAGTCTCACACACTGTACTTTCTTTTATTTTCTTTATTCCTTTCCTTTCCCAGCTTATTTCCTCCGACGGATTTTTTTTTTTTTCAAAGAAACCGTGTCACTCATGAATGGTATCCGTATTCCTCCATCTTTTACTGTGGGGATAATTACGCCCCATTATGGCAGTCATCTGAATGAGAAATAAAGTCGTGACTTTAGTTATTTGTATTATGAACTCTCTAAGAATTAAACTTTGATTCTTATAGTTGATCAAGATCCTGGATTGAACTCAGGCTAGTATGAATAAAAAAGACAACATTCTTGAAGGGTATATACTCTGCGATACCTTTAGTATTAGACAGATTGAATACTGGCCATTCCTTTAGCAGAGATATATATTTGATTTATTGTTACAGTGCTTTACGCTCAAATCAGATACAAACATCAAGACATAGCAACTTATAAAGCCAAGATTTTTCACTGAGAACTTTATAAGAGCCTTTTATGTCTCCTCAGTTATTGAAGTCACAGACGTATCACAGAAACAAAAAGCATACGTTTTTTTTTATCTGTTTCTCTCTCTCTTTCTTTTTGTGATCATGGCGCACGATGGCAATAGAATGGCACAATCCAGCGTAGATTTACAAATCAGTGAAAAGATCTCTAATACAGAAAATGATCAAAGTAAATGCTTAATCTGTTTTGTGAAATTGAAAGACTAAAATACAGTAAAGATACTCTTTTGCATCCTCCGCCTTCTTTTGCAGAATCAGAGTTTTACCAGATCAAGATGAGACAACTGAAAAAGAGACGTGGATATGCATTAAAGGGGACAAATATACCTTCCCGTTATCCCAACTTGAGTAATCTTTGGGAGTTTGCAGGGTAAGAAATATAAGCAAATCCTAATCTGTTGCTAATACACCTAAAGCTGGGGAAGCACATATTATGTAGAAATAGAACCATCTGATATAGAGCAATATGAAAAGGAGTCCAAGACAAAGACAGCCATAGGTCAATGGAGAGCTACATCCATTGCTGGTAACGATCTGATTGCTTCCGTGCTATACTCAATTGGACCGTGCGCTGTTCAGTCGGGAAAATATGCGCCCATTTCTATGCTACTGGTAGCCTTACTGATGTATCCAATGAAGCGTATCATTACAGAAGTTGCCACAGCAATGCCTTTAAATGGAGGAACATATAATGCACTGTTAAACACCACTTCAAAAGCAGCTGCTGCCGTTGCTGCCTGTCTATCTATATTAGATTATCTAGCAACATGTGTTGTATCTGCATCTACAGCTTCAGCTTATCTAGCAGCAGAAGTTGAGTTACCTGCCAAGCTAACACCCTTCATTATTACTATTATCATATTGATTGTTTTTTCATTAATTTGCATCCTGGGTCTAAGAGAATCATCAACCTTGACTCTATCCATCTTCACACTGCATTTGATCACTCTTACTGCTGTTATGGTCACTAGTGTCATTGCCTGGGCCAGATATGGCAGTCAGACACTTGTAGACAACTGGCGTAATATACCCGATCCACCTGGATCCAATCCTGTCCTATTGATCTTGAAAGGCTCTTGTATAGGTTTATTGGGTGTTACTGGCTTTGAGGTAAACATGGATGACAACAAATAATGAAATGCTAACATGGTCTAGTCTGCAGAAAATTACATTGAAGACCTAAAACCAAACACGTTTCCCAAAGTCATGAATAATATGTTTGGTTTTCTATTTATTATCAATGCACCATTGACACTGCTGACAACAGCACTTGTACCAATCAATGTCATTCAAGAAAACGCTGCTAACGTCGTATCCATCCTTGGACAGTACGCAACAGGTGGTAGTCGATGGTTACGAATGTGGATCATGATAGACGCTGTTATCGTTCTCTGTGCGGGTGTACTGACAGGTCTTATTGGAGCTGTTGGCCTAGTGCAAAGGCTGGCCAATGATGGTATTTTACCTAAATTCTTTTTAATCCGAAACTCAGTGACAGGGTCCTATCAGTACATTGTCTTGGCATTCTTGATTTTGAGTATCACTCTGTATGCTATTGTCGGAGGAGACACGAGCTCACTATCCGGTGTCTTTGCTGTAGCATTCCTAGGCAGCTTATCTACGTTTGCGGTGGCTAATATACTGATAAAGTATAAACGTGATCGATTGCCACGCCAAGTCAAGGTCTCACTAGGCGTGTCAGTACTTGTGTTCTTGGTGCTACTGGCTGGTCTTGTTGGCAACATTATTATTGATCCTCATATTGCAGAATATTTTATCATCTATTTTGTAGTTGTCTTGGCAGTCGTATTAACCATGTTGAAACGATGCTGGCTATGGAAGCTTTGTTACTGGCTATTTGATCAAATGGGCTTGCAGCATAAATATCCTCACGTGTCAGGAAGAATAGAAAATTATATACAAAATCACATCAAGAATATCAGAAAGAATCCAAGTGTATTTTTTTTGAATACGGATGAACCACATGTAATGAACAAGGCTATACAATACATTAAGAAGAACGAACATACAGGACAAATCAAGTTTGTTTATCTGTATGAACATTTGGATGATATCCCTGAGGAACTAGAAGTGAATCATAGAATGCTGGATGAAGTATACCCAAAGATTCAAATCGATCTTGTAATAATAGTTTATAGACAAATAGTGACAATGCTAAGCCTCTTTTTAGGTTTTCATTCAAGGAAAATTCAACCCTGCTACTGTTGATGCTATCTCGAGACAGCTGGATATACCAAAGGCACAAATGTTTATGGCTTGCCCTGGACCAAACTTGAAATATTCATTTGGAGAGTTTGGAGGAATGAGAATTATAATGCTTTAATAAAAGTTTATATATCATTATAGAAGCATGTTTCAACTATTATCAATATAATGCACGTCCAACCAAGTCATTTCTCATAGATGATAAACAGGTTGGATAATACAGAAAGACGTCTTGCACATTTATGAAATGCTAAAAAAAAAGTTGGAATTTATTTGTGCACAAAACTTTAGTTGATCTTTAAGAGTTCGACTTCAAAGACCAAAGTAGAGTTAGGAGGAATGACAGGAGGGAAACCACGGGCACCATAGGCGAAATCAGGAGTACAAATTAACTTAGCCTTTTGGCCGAGAGATAATTGAGGAACACCTTCATCCCAACCTTTGATAACACGACCAACACCAATCTTTGTAACGAAAGGTTGATCACGGTCACGAGAAGAGTCAAATTTTTTACCACTATCCAAGAGAGTGCCAACATAGTGCATAGTGACAGTATCACCAGGCTTGGGGAAGTTGATTCCGTCGCCTTGTTGAATAGTTTCAATACTGTTTAAAATAAGAACATGTGCTTGGCCATCACAAACAAACTTACGTAACACCCATTTTTTAAACTTTTGTGTAAGAAAGAAAGAAAGAAAGAAAAAAACTCAAGCGATACGCGGCCATGCGGTTTTATAGGTCTAAAGAATAAATGATTGTCATTGGATATGATTAGTTACATCACTTTAAGCTTTTAAGTTCAGATTAATTATAGGCGCAGAAAAAATATCAAGAAAAGCGTGAAGGAAAAGAATGTATACTTATATTTTATCTGCTACTATTATGTAAATATCACTCATAGAGTGTTCATAGTCTTGTTTTACAATTAATCTTGATATATAAACAAGTCACGTCATTGGCTTTGCTTTTGCATAAACAAGATTCTTTGTATAATTGTGTCTTAAAGTTAAACAAACACATTATATTATCATTGATATTATGTGGACAACCTGATAATCAACACAATAGGAAATACTTCAACACTTACAAGATAAGGATGATACAAAAAACATCAAAGGAAAATTCATAAATAATGCGTATGGGCTTATGAATAATTGCCAAATTGGGTCAAAGAAGATGGAAGCTGCCAATGATAAGTCTGTAAGCAGGGTACAGGTGCTATGGAAACAAACTGAAAACGATAATGTACATTCATATGTGTGCATATTCATAACCCTGTAAACAAAATATCTACAGGTCAATTGTGTATAACTTGACGATATTCTCCCAGAAAGGCATTGTCTATTATTTTTCTATACTATTAATAATTGAATAAGGGAGCATAGCACATTCGTTACTTCAAGTACAAAACCAAAGTGGATACATTTCTTTCGAGAAATTTCTCGACCTGAGTGAACAAATTGACAGCTTGGACATAAACTAAGTGTAGCCAATCAGACAACAGATTGATGTAGCAAATTTTTACAAAGCCGCAAGTTATATGAGAAGCATCTCCCTCCTTTTTTTTTTCTCTTTTTCTTCTTTTTACATACGTCTCTAATGCCCAAGTGTACTCGTAAAGGCTGTGGAAAAGAATTTACTGAAGAAGAAAACAAAGACAATGGTAACAAGAAAACTTGACTCTATATACGTCCTTATTGACCTTTTCTTATTAGTCTGTCAATTTCACGAAGGAGCCCCTGTCTTCCATGAAGGTAAATAATAGAAATAATAATAATAATAAACCAATCAGACTTATCATTATTCAAGGTTTAAAGGGCTGGTCTTGTTGTAAAAAGCGTGTATCTGATTTTGATGAATTCCTCCAAATTCCTGGATGTACATTTGGCCAACATTCAACTGAAGCTCCAGTTCAGCCTGCTAAAGAGGAAAAGAAACCAGCTGCAGAAGCAATTCATGTGACTAATGATGGAGTTGAAGTATACGGCAAGCAGACACCTGCTCCTGCTGCTCCTGTTGTTTCCTCTCCAGTTGTTCCTCACACACCGGCTGAAGAGAAGAAAGTAGAAGAGATAGTAGAAGAAGAGGATGATGAATCAGTTTCAGTTGCTGAAGGTACCACCTGTAAGAGACGAGGTTGTGGTCATGCATTCAAAGATCAAGAGACATCTCGTGGACCAGAGGCCAAATGTCTTCATCATCCAGGTGCACCCATTTTCCATGAAGGATCCAAGGGTTGGAGCTGTTGTAACCGTAGAGTCCTTGATTTTGATGAGTTCTTAAAGATTCCAGGTTGTAAAGAAGGAAGACATTTGTTTGTGAGCAAGAATAACCAAAATGGTGAAGAATTGGTTGACTGTCGTACTGACTGGTATCAGACACAAACACATGTCATTTTCAGCATTTTTGCAAAGAATAAGGAAGATACCCAAGTTCACTTTAAAGAGAATTCAATTGATGTAGATATCAAAATGAAAGGCAATAAGCGTTATAAAAAGACTTTTCCCCTATTCCAATCTATTGACACAAGTGCATCAAAATTTACACCACTTTCTACTAAAGTCGAAATTAACTTGAAAAAGACAAGTGGAATATCATGGGCTGCATTTGAACCTACAGATGAAGTAAAGACTTGGACCACTTTTGGTGTCACAGGAGGAGGAGGCACAGTAGGTGCCAAAGAGGTAATGAAATTATAATAATAAGAGAGAGACGATATTGACTCTATATAAATATAGATGTATTATAATGCTGATGCACCTTTGAATTATACACGCAAATAAATAAATTATTAGACAATCAAAATATTAAAGTGGATTATTTTAAATTTAGTTATAGGCAATTGTGAAATAGAGACATTAGAGTTTGTAGACAATTGTCTATCACTAAAGTTTGTATTTTTACCTGCATCATTGTATTAATTACCAGCGATAACTGGTGGGGATTAATTTTTGACTTTCTTTCGGGAATACTCTCGCGGGCGACTTCCTTCATTTCGTAGCGACTTTAATATGCTTAGAAAATTGAGGACGGCAGCGAGATCTCGATTCCATCAAGTTCCGTCGTCTTCACTTGTTGCCGTGCGCCTTTGCCAGTTGACCCAACATACGGTGCTTACCAGGCATGCAGAGAACAAGTTACGGCTTCACGACGTAGACGCCGAGCTGAACGAGAAGAGCAGGAAGGCAGCCCAGTGAGACGTAGGAGAAGGCCTAGGGTAGAACCTTCTTAAGCCACTCCTGTCACCAATATTTCTTAGTTACATTTTTACGGCCATTAGAGCTTGAACACATGAACAAGGAATGCTACACTGTCACGTCCTACATTGGATAGAAGAAAGACAAGATATATCTTCATTGAGGAACCCTAACTGGGGATCATGTTACAAGCAGGGATCAGTCCAGTTACAGCTCTTGACTCACCAACCTGAGTACTTGGTGAACCTTTTTGTTTGAATGAACGTACAATGCCGTCACTTCAATAATTTCTCTGTTGCTGAACCAAAGCGAAGGAGTACACATCATCCTCGAGTGTGAATCTTGTGGTACGGTGTGAAATCGCGATGTGAACAGGGCATTGAATATATGATATGACAATGAGAGCCTTCCTCTCCCTTCAGAAGATACACAAAAGACTAGTGCCGTGGATTTAATGCGACGTCAATAATATCTTGACAAGTGCATTACGTCTTTTTTTTTTGACAACAAATCCATAAAGTTGTTTTCAACATGGTGCTCCTAGATTGAATACCTTTTCCATAATGGCAGTACATTCCTTAATACCTCGATAGG